TATATATATATATATATATATATATATATATATATATACACACACACACACACACACATATATATATATTTCTTTTATGCGTATATGTATGAACAGAATTAATGTTGTATGTGGTAGTAGAAGAAAATGAGGAATCAATCTTCTGTAAGAAAATGAAATATAAGCAGAGATTAAATGATTTTATCTCCGCACTCTGCACTTATGCATGGATATTTTTCGTACATATCATCGTATGTTTATAACTTCTATGAGATCACTTTTTGATGCTTGGTTAAAATTTTACGTTTAGCAGCTATGTGTTGATTATTTTTATTTCTTAAATTATTAAACTATTGCTTGCCCTGTAATTGACAATTGTTTCAAACGTTTGTAATTCACATAGCGAATATTTTGGTGTAAAAAATTTGTGGACACTTCATGATCTTATGTTGTCTAAGATGTTCTTTTCATTGTGTTTGAGTGATTTTTGTGATTTACTTATTCCTCGTTGCATTTGGTGATAGGTAATGTTCTTTTGTTGAAGAACAGCTTGAATTTGAGTCCAGATATTGCAGAGGTTTCTCAGGAGAAATTGCTTTCACTTATTGCTGATCGGTTATTTGATTCAAACAGTAACATCAATGTAACTGGATTTTGCACTATCTTGTTTACGCTTCTTTGTTCATAACTCAATTTTAACAATTGAGAATTGTAGTTTTCCTTGCTTATTTTCATCATATTTTTGACCGGCTTAGTTGGTTTCCAGGACAAAGATGCTGGATATGCTGAAAATCAGCAACAGAATATTGCTGATGCAATTGATTTGCTTCCTAGACTTACTACTGGCATTGATGTAAATATAAAATTTACAAGGTAGATTAGCTTTTATTTTATTTTATTTTGTTCTACTATCATAATTTTATGCTAGAAAAAATGTGTTGGCGATTGCAACTGAGGTACATGGCTTGCGTGTTGCATAGTGCCTTTTATATATGCATGAGATTAATCTTTATGGCATGCAGTATAATTGTGAATTAGCGGGAACATCTTTATTAATTGTAATTCTGATGACAGGATATCTATTATTTTTTCAGAATTGATGATTTTGAGTTCACTCGGGAGTGTGCAATATTTGATTTACTGGACATTCCACTCTATCATGGATGGATAGTTGATCCCCAGGTATGAATTTCACACCTCACCAGTCCAAATAAGTGCTCAACATATCTTTCCGTGTCTGCCGAATGCATGTTGACTTACACATTTGCTTAATGTACATATCATTTCATGCATGCTTACCAGGATTATGAAACCATGGATGTTATTGGGTCCAAATCATATAATACTCTCATGGGGGAGCTTGTTTCTTTGGAAGCTCAAACTATGAAGAATGAATATAAGCAGAATCTTGTAGATGATTCAGTTGATTTTGTTGCTGCAACAACTGCAGCTTTGGGAGTACCTTCACCGTCTCTCTCAAGAGGTCGATCCTTTGATGATTCTGCCTGTTCAGATTCCCCTCACTTAAGAGCAAGAAAGGGGGACATTGAAGAAGAAGTGGAGCTTTTGATAGCCTTGAAATTATCAGAGGCTGCAATGCCTAAATCATCAGCTGATAATGTGCCTAATGATGAATTCATGAGTTTTACCGAAAGTGCATGCAATAAAAAGTCTGAATTGGTTGTTTGTCCAGAAACAGTGGAGGAGGTCGTTGATCAAACTGTAAATACTCTTGAGCATGGAACATTGAAATGTGTTGAAAGCAATGCTTTGAGCTATCGAAACAATGATGCAACATTTCCTGAAACAGTTACGGAGGAAGATACTCTAACGCAGAGCAACTGTGTCCTACCAACCTCTGAAGAATCCAAAGAAAATTGTAAAAATGTAGTTGAAAAAACTGGTTCTGAGATGCATGTTGAGAATGAACATGTTCAACCTGTGTCTTCCGAGCAAGATCCTGCAATTGCTATTGATAGTGTTGTATTTAAATCCACAAGGAATGAGCATGTTCATAATGAAGTTACTTCCACATCTGATGCGGATGTGTCAAGAAATCATCATAATAGTTGTGAGACAAGAGATTCTTCTGAGTTGTTGACTTCGCCTGCAGATTTGAATCCACTAAGCAGTCAAATTCGCAAGACTGATGACCCTGAAACCTTCAAGTCGGGCATTGGCAGTGAACCCATATATGAAGGTGAGGAGAGCATACTGGAGTCAGGAACTACAATTTATGAAGATCGAGAGCCTGTATATGAAGGTGAAGTAATTCTTTCAGGACACGTGGATAAAAGAAGCATTAATGATGGCGACCAGACTTGCAAGGATATAATGACTGCAAAACAAGGTAAAAGTGCTGCCTACAAATGGAGGAAAAAATTTTGCTAGATGATTAATTTTGGGAAATGATACTGTCTTTCCTGTTTTATTTATTTATTTATATTGGAGATAGAAGGATTTTGTGCTTATGGTTTTCTTTTTCAGTATAAGCATAAATGCTTGATTCCCTCTCTTATTTTTTTCAGGGGAATTGATAAGAAACTTCCTGAGGAACAGTGCCAGTCAGTTGACCATATATGGGTATGTTATTTTTGGTTTTACTACATGATATACTTGAGAATATTTTGTATGTAGCAAAAGGAGATTCTGATTATTTATTTATTTATTTTTGGCAGCTTATTTTGCTTAAAGGATAAAGTGAAAGAACGGGAGTTATGCGTTTTTTTCAGAAATAATCATTTCAATACAATGTTTAAGGTTGGTGCGTGGGCTAGATAGCTGCATGTTAGTTAATGAGGCATGTTTTTTATTGCTAATTATATTTACACGAACTAAATAAGTTGCTGAATTTTGTGTATGACTAACGGCTGATGTGTGCTACCTGTAATAAGTAATAATTAACCTCACGAGATTAATAAATATCACTAATTTAAGGTATTAGTAATTACATTTCCTCCTCTCTCTTTTATCAAGAAATTTCTCATTTTAATATGTCATGTTGCATAAAGACACATTGACTTAAAATTTTGGTCATGAAGAATGAAAAGACCTAAAATACAATTTTTTAGTAATAGATTGCATCTCAACACACTTGTGCACAGGAACGGAGAATTTCACGTACAGGTATGGAACTTTAAAGAGAAGGACCTAGTTTAGATGTTATTCTAAAGCAATACATGAAGCTGGTCCTCTAATTAGCAACAAATGGCAATGATACTGAACCCATGAATAGTAACCTTGGGCTAGAAGAGAGATGAAGTCAAGTAGTTACAGTTTCATTTTTGCAAAGAAAAAAATTTCTTGGTGTAATTTTTATAAATTATTAGTTATATTAACCCTGAGGGGTAGCTTAGTGGTCACGTCTTGGATTTACTCTCCAATGAATGATCACTAGTTCGAGTCCCCTCAAAGCCACTAAGGTGAGTACCCAACGGTAAATTTCAGGGCCTCATGAGATTAGTTGAGGTACATGTAAGCTAGTCCGAACACTCACAATCATAAAAAAAATAAAAAATTATTAGTTATATTATTAAGCATTCCATTGTCAAGTGTGCTTGTTATGGTTCTTGACATCAGTTTATTTAGTCGCCATCTAATATTTTTATTTGTAGTATGAAGGTGAATTATATATCCTAGCTGCTGATCAAGGATACATAACTCAGCCTGATCTGGTCTGGGAAAAGCTGAATGAGGTGAGATTGTAGCATGGAAGCACTGTGCTTTCTATTTGGAAAGAGATATCCTAAATATTCCTAACTTCATCTGGTTGATTTTGATTTGATAATTAGGTGAATGGGGACACCTTGTTTATGACAGGCAACTTTAAGGAATTCAAAGTGGAAGACCATTCGAACAGCACATGGCATGAACAGAATGCCGTTGAAAGTACTGCAGTATGTAACTTCTAAGTTCTAAAAGACTCCAAATATGTTGGTATTTTGAAAAAACCAAATATAACGTAACTAAATTTTGTTTTGCAGGACTATTTGCCTAGCATTGATGGCGGTTCTCAAGAAAATTTGACTTTCTAGTAATTGTCTAATTTCTCTAGAGCCTGATTGATTTATCATTGTCTAATATTTAGTCGATAACACAGCATGATTTCATTCTGATGATTATTTCTTCTTCTTCCTCTTCGTATTTATTCCATTGTCTTCATATATTACTTGTTATTGTAATTTTTCCTTAGTATGATTTTGATTGGAATGAATCTTTGAGCTACTTTAAATTTCGACAGTCAGATTCATCATGTACTCGACATGCAGAACAATATTTTTACTTTCTGTTTCCTGAAAGGAAGTATTTGTTTTTCGAACTCAGCTTACAAATTTGTTCACTCAGCATATGATTGTCTTTTTTAAAATAATTACTTTAGAGCAACCTCTTCGGAAGGAATTTTATTTCGACTTCTTTTTTCAGTGAAATATTTTGTATTTTTCCCCTAAAATTAACATTTCATTCAGTGGTGTCCATTATTAATCATATTCAACATTATATGATGAGCAACGTTGCTTGAATAACTTTGATGCTGTTTTATGACAGTTCTGATTTGCAATTAGCAATGGCTCTTCAACAACAGGAATTTGAGCAACAGCAACCACAGCGTAGTTCTCAGCAACAGCAACCGCAGCATAATGCACAGCAACCTGCCATTGCTGGTGGTTCAAGGCTGATGACTGGTCCCCCGGTAGGTTTCGTATCTGTTTGTGCTGTGTTAAAACTTTTGTTTTGGTTTGACAAGTCGAGGTATATTGAAAAATGCACATGTTTGGAGCACATTTATGGACAGAATTGAACACTACAAGGCCCTTGTTTGTCTCCCATACTTCCAAAATTCCTTTTTCTACGTACTCATTTTTAATCACATATTTACATAATAAAATATTACCCAAAACTTTTCCCTACATTTTAACCACATATTCTCCAAAAATTCACTATTCAAAACAAAGTTTTTTAAAAATAAATGACCACCAAAAAGGGGCTAAATAAGAAAAAGAAGCTAAATCTTTTTCTTTGTACCATCCAGCCTCTTCCAGTATTGCTTCCCAAACATGGTGTAAAGGTTTAGTTGAGCTAGTACAGAGAGGAAGAGATTGTTCTTATGATTGTTAAGCATATATTTGGCAAGTTTTTATAAACAGTTGTGTTCATAAACAAATAGAAATGAGTGGTAAATAAATGGGTAGTACATATGGGTCTAATGAAATGTGGTTTGAAATTTAGCAAGTATTGCTGAACATCTAGTAAATGTTTATACTGCAAGAGATGGGAATACTACTAATTAATGCAGTCGTGAATTGTTCTCAATGATTTTTGCAGGTTCCGAGTAGCACCAAATATACATCTTCGTCTTCCAAACAGGACCCAAAACCATTGAAGGACAAGTGTAATGTGATGTGATTACGATATAATTCTGTAAATGTTCAATGGTTTCTAATGAATTCTAATATCCATTTGAGTAATACTTTCATTCAGCTTGCTGTACATATTAATAGAACTTCAGTTTTGGGCTCTACAATATAGACCTGTTTCTTTCCATTTGTTGATGTTTCTCAGTTTAGTCATTTGGCAGTGAAATAATTCTGTGGTTGTCTATGACTTCGTGACTATGTTGCTTTCACTTGCCATGGAAAAGAATATTAGGAATGATCTAATGAGCACCATGTTAAGCATTGGTGACTAAATTCATTAGTGGATAAAACTCAAGGATGTGGACCAAAATTTTTGGAGATTGTGCTGTATATGCCTAGTCGGGGATTATCTCGTTAATTATAACTCTTGAGGGGGTGATAGCTGCCTTCTTGTCGGCTCCTCCCGAAGGTATAAATTTTAGCTTATTTTGATCTTTGTACGTGTTTCTATTGAAGGTCTTAACTCCTCGATAATTTCAATAAGTTGGTGATGAGTAAACTTACCCAGATGTTTCAATAATATGGATTTCGTGGTGTCCACGAGGTGGTGAATGCCAAAATAATATAAAGTGCAATGTTGAAAATGGCAATTCTTGTTGACTAACCTTTTATGAAATTTCTCTTTTTAAAGTTTTCTCCTTTTTTTGGTATTTAGTTTGGGACCACTTTTATCTCTTGTTTCGACCTAAAAAATAGGCTAATTAGCACTAAATGTCTTCACCTCTCAATGTTTTTGTAAAAAACGTCAATACCTTTTATTTTTTTTAGCAATTTCACTCTCACTTTCACCTTTTATTGTAGAAAATGTCATTTCATCCATCCACGGTCAAATACTCTATTAATTCAACAAAAATGCTCCTTCAATCTACTCACCGTTAAATACTCCGTTAACTCAACAAAAATGCTAATTAGCCCAATCCATCCTCCCTCTTTAATATTTTTGTGTAAAACGTCATCACATTTCATTTTACAAAGTTATGGATATTTTACGTAACTTAGTTTTAAAGGTGGGGTTGTTTTTCGCAAAGTATATTAAAAGATGGTGTTATTACGCGTAAAATATATTAATAGGTAGGGAAGTTCAATTTCATGCTAAAATGAAAAAAATAGGTCTAGTTCATCTTCTCCATTCATATGTGATATGTTATTCACCGTTGAAATCTAATGAGCTATTTACAGCATCACATTTGCCATTGTTCTTATTTTACTCTTATTTACATCTCTAGTTTATCAGCCACATATTCAATCTCTTCATATACCATTTAAAATGTTATGAGTAATCCTGTATTATATCAGCCATTTTTTTCTGAAGGTGAAATACAGTGTTCTTTAAGTAATTTCTTATTTATTAATGGAATAATTGTATAAATTATTTTCCTATTACTTTTAATTTTGAATAGTTAACTTTAAAGGTGGGAAAGAAGGTCAGTGAAAAAATTGGGTAAAACTATATTACCCTTGATTTTTTAAAAGAAAAATTGTATATCTTGTTAAGTTAACAGAGCATTTGACGGTGAATGGATGGAAGAACCTTTGGGATGAAATTTTCGAAAAAAAAAAGTATGAACGTGTTGTGTTAATTAGCCTTCGCTTACTTAATGGAACATTTGACAGTGGGTGGATGGAAGGGATTTGATAGTTCCTATTACTTTTTTCGCAATGAAATTTGAAAGTGATGATGAAATTGGTAAAAAACGAAAGTTGACGTTTCACAAAAAAATAAAATGAAAAGTGATGATGTTTTGTACTAAAAGGGGTAGTGCAGGAATATTCACCTATTGTCTATTGACTACGCCATTTCGACCTGATATTGTATTTGAAGCAGTTGGTCAAATTCCTTATGATAAGCAACTGAAACAAGTGCCTACTAATGGTAAGAAAGGAGGTCCGATCCTTTATAGGAACTATCCGTAGTAATGAACTTGTAAAATGGATATGTTTATCATAAATAGATTGTCATTGTCGTTCCTGACCCTGCTTCACCTTAATTGTTATTTAAACAAGTAAAAGTTGTATCTTGGTTCGAGTGAGGATATAACGGGGTCTCGAAAACTATGTAATTTATGCTCGGTCCTTATCCTATTTTTAGGTTCATTAGGATTCTTATTGGTTGGAGGTTCCAGTTATCTTGGTAGTCAAAGAGGAACTTGTTCTTCCGACATAAGAAATCCTTTTAATAATTTCGAGCCTAATTTTTTCAAGCAGGTATACCATCAACTCTACAATATGTTTTAGAAATTTCTAATAGAGAGGGTTTTGTTGTTGAGAACTCTAACATTGGAAAGGAATTTAATAAAGTTAATCTTTTTTTTTCATATGATTTGACCAATTGTAACTTTTTGATTTGAATAAAGTATCAATTCCAACAAATATTGAACTAATATATATGTGTGTGTATATATATATATATATATATATATATATATATATATATATATATAAATATATATATATATATATATATATAGATATATATGTATCGTTTGATATATGAGATGAATTGAATCTCCTGGCTGTTTACGGAACGTGTTAATCATTTGCTTCCGAAAGAAATCGAAGGACAGAAATCTTCTAAACCTTTGGTATAGGTTAAAATCCCATTGGATGCAATTTATTTCCACATATTTTTTATTTCAATAGAATGAAAGACTTTTTACATAATTTGAATCTGGGACACTTTAGGGCGTCCTCAAGATATATTTTTAGATACTGCTATACAATTACAACTCGTTTTTGCTCAATGGATACAAAACACCTACACTTTAGCATCTAATGCAACGGCTCCTGGTAAGGCATGTAGCTCAGAGGATTAGAGCACATGACTACGAATCATGGTATCGGGGTTTCAAATCCCTCTTTGCCCACGATTGGCCCAAAAGGGAAGTACCGGAGGTCGAATATTAAATATGAATCATAGTTCAAATGCTTCTTAATCTAGTTCATATATTCCATGTTCCATATACTAGAATAGGCTGTGTGTTCGAGCCCCGTCAGTTTCGATAGATCCAATGGATACATCAATTAATTTCTTCCTTTTTATGAAAGGATGTCAGGGGATGCGCTCTACCATTGAGCTAATAGCCTGTTGTACAAGCCTCTCACTGGGGGCTGTTATGCCAAAAGTGAGAAACCCCATCCATCACTTTCCCTTTTTTTGCCCCCGATGGATGTTCCAGTGGACATTATGCGCTTGTGACACAACCACCCCCCCCCCCCCAGAGGAAGGGCAAAACAAGGGGGACTACGAGTAGGAATCAAAAGTTGGATCTACATTGAATCTTACTTGAATTGTCTCATCTATCTTCTTGAGGAGAGGTTTGGTTTAGCCTAAAAAAATATATCAACTCTTAATACTGTGACAACGACCTACACTACATCAAAATTACCAATAAAAAATTCTAATAGCTCAAACTTAAGGGAAAAAAATTCTTGAATTTTTCTATGTTTAGTTAAATCAATAATTAAAATCAAAATTTCTTGAATTCTCAATTGTTAAAATATACAATTGCTAAACACGTGCTTAGAGACTAGCTAGCATTACATAAATTAACTATTCTGTCTTCTCGTAACTTAGGAAAATTGAAGAGCTTAGAAATAGAACGAGGTTGAGTAAGAATATAGTGAAATTAATATTTTTACGTCCATTTATTATGAATGCCAAGATTTATTGCTAAAGAGATGAGAAATGACGAAGTATTACATTTGAAGTCTTTCGACCCGTTGTCATGATCGAGATACTAACTACGAAAACCATTATGTGCGTGTATAAAATTTACATTTGGTCACATTTACAATGAGTTTCACCTACTATCAGCAAAAGATAATCATGATTTTGAAATAATTAACGATATTATTTTAACTTTATCAATCTTCTGGTTGCTACCTACCATCTCTTTGAAAATATTATTTTTACTTGGTTCACAAGCAACAACATTTCCACGTAACAAATGCCACAATACTAAGAAAATGTTTGCTCTTCTTATTCTTTGTTTTTTTTTTCTTGTACTGCTATTTTCACCCCCCCCCCCCCCCCCCAAAAAAAAAAGGGGGTAATGGTTTTCATTAGTTGTATTTTATATGACAATGACCCTACTGCCATGTGAATGGTTGTTGTTGATGAAGAGCCTTGCTATCATGTTATGATAATTTTTTTGAAAAATGCTTGGTATACACTTAGTTGGACAACCCTCTAGTAGGGGGGCGGAGCCTGCAAATATTTTATAATCGCTATTAGAGTTGTCAGCCTTTGGTGTACACCTAGCATTGTTCTATTTTTTTTATCTACCTCGTGTTTGATTATATTTGAATATTTTCTTGTTTGAGCTCCATTAATTTAAATATACATCTTTCTTTCTATTCTTTTCAATCACATTTTTTTAATAAAATAAACTCAAAACGATTCTTTCTTTTTAAACCACACATTCATCAAAAAATTACTATTACAAAATATATTTTTTTCCTGAAATTCCATTTATAATGGAGCTCAAATAGGAACATACTTTCTGATTTATTTCCTTGCCTAACCAAATGGGGATGGGCGTGGTCCAACTTCAAAGATAACAAAACCAAACCAGAAATCAATGGAATCATTGGTTCCAAATGTATTCTGAACCGCATGATTTGACACAATTGCAAATTTATTTTAATTCTTGATGTTAACAAGTCGTTCCGTTTTTATGAAAAAACCCATTGTGAGAATTTCAGCTGGATCAAATATGTAGTTAAAAAGTAGAGTAAAAATATGAAAAAATGTGAAAATAATAATAATAATAATAATAATAATAATAATAATAATAATAATTATTATTATTATTTTTTTTAAAAGCATGTGATTGAAAATAAATACGAAAAAATAATTTTCAAAAGATAACTCCCACACAAGGACATAGTCCTTAATTTAAGCATAACCAAATTAAAAAATGCTCATTAATTTTAAAAATAATGTTTCATGTAGATCATAGTGTACACCTTTGTGTACATTCTGTCGCGTGTCAAGCTCCGATTTGACAACTTAGAAAAAAATCAGACTTTCTATCAATCGCACGTTGTCAACTCAAATGATGTATACAATGATGTATAAAAAAAGTGGCCGATAGGTAGTCATTGATAGACTAACAAACACAGTGCTAATTCTTAGCCAAGGAAGCATTATATTGACAGCTTAACATCTACCAATTTTCTTAAACTAAACAATAATTCGAAAAGTAGAAATAGGCTTGAAATAATTAAGTATAATAACGACAAATTTTACATACCACAAAAGTATACGTGCTTTTAAAGAATCATATTTCTTCATCTCAATCAATTGACCATCATGTATTTGTTATAATAGTATAATTAAACATATTAAGTGGTGATACAACTCCATGATGAAACCCTAGTTGGAGCCCCAATGGTTCGATCCCCATAGCCGATAATCAAGGAACTAAGTTGGATCACTCATTCTTGAATTGTCCGGGTGCTTGCCATAAATCTTTCAAAGTGGTTCAACCTCAAGTAAAAATTGAGCAAACTTATCTATAGATCGAGAATTCAAGGTAATCGATCTCAGATGAAGATCGAACATGATTTGTCCTCGGAGCCAAACATATGTTGACAATAAAGGTCAAACCTATTTCACATTTCTTGATAGTTGTCTAAAACATGGAAAATATCAAATGACCCATGAGGATGACCTCACGGGTGACCGCGCCTTCACATGTTCCGGTGTGGGTCCCCTATTAATAAAATAATCCCAACTCCCATATGTGTTGTGTCAATCCCACGGTCATCCTTGCAAGCACTGTAGCACGACTCCTAAAACATATCTCCCTAGACCCAGGGGCGGACCCACATGGGGTCATGTGGGGTCAAATGACCCCACAGTTTTCTAGAATTTTTTTTTTTTTTTTTTGCTGAAACTTAATTTTCTGTTTTTTTTTGTGCTGAAAATTCAATTTTCTGCCCTAAAAAGTTCAAATTCTAAATCTATATTCATATCACATGGTCCATATCGAACATGAACAGCAAACAATCGATTTTTCCTTTTTTTCATGATACGTTGTTCGAAAAAAAAAATTTTGACCCCACAGTTTAAATGGTCTGCGTCCGCCCCTGCCTAGACCATCCATTTCCTAATGAGGAGAAGCTCCTCGATTTTTTCAGGTATCCAAAGATTCCAAACCACCATAGTTATTCTAGGGATGTATGACTTCATTTATTAACGAGTAGTATCATACTTCATGACTTGTATAAGATGTTATGACTTTGTTAGACATCAATTTATAATAATCCCATTTACAATTAAATACTTTCTAACATATATAGGTAAGGTCCAAGTCAAATATGTACTCACCACTTATTATAACAACTAAATGAAGTTCAATTTTCTTATGAAAGACCAATAATAAATGTCACCTAACCTTACCCAAAACTATGGTTACACATTTCGATTTATTTGAAAAGTCTAACGATACAAAAAATCACATTAGAAAAACTAAAACCCATATAAATTCAACCAAAAAAAAAAAAAAATCTTCAAAATGTGTGTCCGTGGATCTACTTAGCTATGATATTTACCATAAATTTAACAAAACAAAATTTAGTTCACGAGACTCATCATAAACTCATCTACTTGTATATATCGTTACTCGATATATATAAGCTAAACAATGGTGCTTAGTAAATTGTTTCTATGCATACACACATGGGCAGACCCAACGGGAGTCGTGGGGGGTCACTTGACTCCCCAACTTTTGAGATTTTTCTCTTTTTTTTCTTTTTAATATATAAAGTCACGTTTGGTACCAATTAAAATTAAAATTTTAATCTAAATCAAAGTTAATAATTAATTTTAATAACATATTTTCAAGATTCCTTAACTTCTAAAATTTATCAAAATTTACTAAAAATCGGACTTTAAACCCCACCAAACAGAGACAAAATCACGAAAATTTTGAATTTTCTATTTTCTCTTATCCTATTTGTGTATATAGCATATGTCTAAACTGATTATATAAAATTTAACTTATATATAACGAATTGTGTTTATTTGATTGATTATTAGTATTGAATATTGATTATTTGTTTTTTCTTTCGATTACTTGAATTGATTGCTTGTATCAAATACACAATTTTTTAAAACATAAATATACATTTTCTCGTGATAAGCAAAATATTAATAAAATTATTGTTCAAAATCAAATAGATGAAAATAATAAGAAAAATATTAATGAAGAAATATTTTTGAAATGTAAATCTCTATTTTTTCAGGTCAAATATGAATAATTAAAAAATTAAAAAAAAAAGTATTCGATTTGTACAAAGTTTGATTGTACCCTAACTCAATTTCTCTGCGTCCGCCCGTACATATACATCTATATATGTATGTATCTCTCTCCCCTCTTTTGGCAAAAATTCTATGGCTCCTTTTCTCCCTCCCTCTTCTGTGTACTCTGAAGCAATCAAAATAAAGAGAGAAAATCAAATCAGTTACTCTCTCTAGCTAGCCTTCCTCTTTTTTCTCTTTGTGTGTTAATCTCTGTAATTCTGCGCCCTATATACAGAAAGTTGGGTCATCTCAGATCCCATATATACACATAAAAATTATTATATCTTTAAGAGGTCCTGAAAAATTGAACCCATTTTACTGTAATATTGTTTAAATTAAAAAGTGAATAGTTAAAGCACTTTGTTTTGGCACTAATATGCAAGAAGAAGGCATAACCATCTTGGGTTATGGTGGTGGCGGCGTCGGCGTCGGCGAGCAGAACCACCAGCTCAAGGCGGAGATCGCCAGCCATCCGCTGTACGAGCAGCTGCTCTCCGCCCATGTAGCGTGTTTAAGGGTGGCGACACCGATTGATCAGTTGCCACTTATTGATTCTCAACTCTCACAGTCTCAGAATCTCTTAAGGTCTTATGCTCAGTATAATATTTCTCAATCTCTATCTATACATCAAAGGCAAGAACTTGACAATTTCTTGGTAGGTTTTTTCCTTCAAATTCTTGATTCTTTTTCTATTATTATTATTATTATTATTATTATTATTATTATTATTATTATTATTATTATTTTGGAATTCTTTTTGGTTTGGATCATAGGATAGATGGAACTACGAAACATGACAAGACAAGATTATATTTTTAAGAAAAAAAAGGACACGAAACGTTTGGGAATATATTTATGAAAATATGATTTTAGAATTACAATATTATAATCGTCTAGTATTGAATTTTATAATTTTAAATTATTATTATTATTATTATTATTATTATTATTATTATTTTGGAATTCTTTTTGGTTTGGATCATAGGATAGATGGAACTACGAAACATGACAAGACAAGATTATATTTTTAAGAAAAAAAAGGACACGAAACGTTTGGGAATATATTTATGAAAATATGATTTTAGAATTACAATATTATAATCGTCTAGTATTGAATTTTATAATTTTAAAAATAATACAATCATATTTTAACTTGACATGTCATACTATTTAAAAAATATTTGTAATATTATTGAACAAAATCATTATAGAAAAAAAAATCGTGACTCCAATTACGAAAAATCTATTGCAATAAACCGTCAGCAGAAATAAATATTCTAAACGACAATAAGTTGTTACTTTTAGCCAGTAGCTTAAAGTTATCATAGTTGATTACTGATGAAATTTTAGTTGCTAACCAATTCAAATTATGGGATACTTTTTTTCAAGAAAAGTTAAAAACTCACTATGAAGGTATTTAAATCCTAATTATATTAAATTTTCAAAATGTTTCAAATGTTTTTTTATGGGTTTTTTAGTTCGTTTGTTTAATGTTAAATTAATATGAAATTGATGTTACAGACACAGTACTTGTTAGTATTGTGTTCATTTAAAGAAGAGCTTCAGCAACATGTCAGAATCCATGCTGTTGAGGCTGTCATGGCAGGCAGGATGATAAGAAAGTAACTTTGGGCTTTTGGAGGCTTTGTGTGACCCTATAACAAGCGGTAGGTAAGGTGGGACCCACCCGAAGGATTAGTTCATATAGTTAGGAGAGAACCATAAGTGGCGACAAACCAGTAAAATAGTAAGTTACTAACAACTTAACTATGAATGCTCATTGAATAAGTATGTCACAAACAAATATAGAAAGAAAAACTTATATTGGCGACTTTCATCGACTTTTATACTAAATAGAAGTTTGTCGAGAATATGTTTCATGATTTTCAGTATATTGGATTTTGCATCAATAAAATTTGTCGTTGATACTGCATTTTCATTTAAAGGAATTCATCTACACGTACTTTCATATACGATTGCTTTGATACGGTTTTATTCTAGTTCAATTAGCCTTTAAGTATTTGGTATCCAGTTTACGGTGTATTTTTTGGAAACATTTTAGAGTTATAATCGATTGTCATATATCGAAGGTGGATCATTTTTACGTTGTCACACATAAAACTAGGGGAAGACCAAAACGTTTGGATAAGAATGAACTAAAAGAGTAGCAGATGTCATGTCATATTTGGTGCCTAATGTTGGATATATAGGATATTATTGTGAAGAAATCATAATTATTTTTGTTATTTAATATTGTCGAGTACTGTACAGGAACAACAGTAGGTGAAGGAACCGGTGCAACCATGTCAGATGATGAGGATGAGCTGCAAATGGATTTCTCGTTAGATCAATCAGGAACTGATGGACATGATTTGATCGGTTATGGACCATTGATTCCAACAGAATCAGAGAGGTCTCTAATGGAAAGAGTTAGGCAAGAACTCAAAATTGAACTTAAACAAGTGAGTTTCTTTTAAAATTTTAAACGTTAACATGTCCTCTAAGTGAAGAATTTTCATTCATTGTCTAATATCTTTGTCTAAAAACCTTAAACAATTACCGAATGTGTCTTTGCAGGGATTTAAGTCGAAAATCGAAGATGTTAGGGAAGAAATATTAAGGAAAAGAAGGGCAGGAAAATTACCAGGTGACACAACCACAGTGCTCAAGGATTGGTGGCAGCAGCACTCAAAGTGGCCATATCCAACTGTAAGTCCCTTTTTAATCGACTTCGTTTATACATCGAATTGGTAGAAATTTGGCAAAGTTAAGGAAAGAAAGTATACCAATCAATTTTCATGTTGTCTAATCTTATGTAATATCTTTATTTTATGAATTTGAAAACACGAATAATTGTAGTGGTCCGGTCTGAGCTACATAAAATTTTAGTGGTCTAATTCGGATCGGAAACTGTTATGGGCCGACTCTACAAGGCTTTGGGCCATGTCGAGAATGGGCCGTCCACTTTGATGTCTCTAATCGTTGAGTCTAGGCATGTATTTTAAAAAACTCTATTTCAAGTGCTTATAACTTATAAATTGTGGATCCTACAAAATATGTGAATAATAAGAGGGTGCTATAAGTTATGGATCCTATAAAATGTGTTGATAAAAAAAAGTTTGACCAACTTAAAAAAGTTAAGCTTTGCAAAACGTTAGAACATTTACTTATAAGTAGAATGCTTATTTAGACAGCAAAGTAAAAGCCATTTTTAAAATAGTTAACTTTTTCTTCTTTTTAAGTTAAATCGGGCATTCTCTATGATGCCTCGTATCGTCGTATTTCTTTAAAAAGGCACTCAATTTTATGAAATTACAGGAAGATGACAAGGCAAAGCTTGTAGAGCAAACAGGGTTGCAGCTCAAACAAATAAACAATTGGTTCATAAACCAAAGGAAGAGGAATTGGCACAACAGCAATTCACAGTCTGCCTCTTCTTTAAAGTCCAAGCGCAAGAGATAGAGAAATTCTGCTATAGTTTGGGTACTAAAAAAAGGTCTGGGATGCTATTGCAATTGCATCGATAGATTGAGGACTAGTAGTGCAATTTTTCTTCATGTAAATGCTCGATAACTTCGAATTCAAAGTTTAGTTTACTAACGTTTAGATAAGTGGTAATTTGGTCGGAATGCATTGTATGGTCTCGAATTTTACGTTACTCTACCTTTTGTCTCTGTATAACAACGTGAATTAAATTCCGTCGATCTTCTTTAAGTATAAATGAACCTCTCAATCGAATCGTTTTAGACTATAGTGTATAGTTTTAGATGGCACATATAAGTAGATACATTCATATATAAATGTGTATAAGTTTGTAAGTAGTCGTGTTTCTCGTAAATTTTCATAGCGCGATAAAAAAAATTTCTACCCAATGTTTCTCTTTAAATGTTTGGGTGTTTCAACTATATGGTGAATCGATTGAGGTGTTTAGATTACTTTAATTCTAGAATATGCGAAAAAAGTTAATTTAAGACTCGTTTAATTATGAGTAAAACTTTTTTAAGCACGGCCCAACAGACCAGAGTTGATAACAAAAGTAAAGCAGAAGGGACATTAAATAGGAGAAATTGTTGAGAGTGGGATTTGAACCCACGCCCTTTCGGACCAGAACCTTAATCTGGCGCCTTAGACCAACTCGGCCATCTCAACAACTGTGATGGCAATTGTTTTAATTATTATATATAAATACTATCACAAAATCATTTCATTTAAAATGTTCAACGGTAGTTAACTTTATTTACTAATTTATATTTATTCTTCAACGATGGTTTTTAATATTAATATAAGACTTTAATGTTAAAAAGAAATTGACACATAAAACCTAATAAAAATGAACACTGTAATTAGTCCAAAAATAGACTATAATTTAAGAAATTGCTTTACAGCCAACATCTTGATAATTTACTTCATGACGATGCTGTACCACCTTAAAAATATAGAAAAACAATAAAACTTTTATTGGCCTTCAAGTCTCTCCTTCAATATCCTCACTCCCATATACCTGCCAAAAAGGGGGGGGGGGGGGGGGGGAAAAAACAAAAAAAAACCCC